CCCCCCACCTCTCTGCCCCAATCTACCTGCCTACTTTAATAACTTTCATTACTACAGCAGTAGGGGCTGGGGGAGCAGATCAGGACCCAGGGAAATAGGGTCTAACTCTGACTTGGTTCAGGAAAGCACAGCTGATGATGGCCGAAGCTTCTGAAGCTGTGATCAAGATGATCTTTTCTGCTAATTAGTCCAGTGAGCCCTTGACCTGGTGGACACAACACTCAGTGCCAATGCAAGAACCTCATTCATTCCATTTATATTTATTGGGTACTTCACTGAGTAGGGGGTAGGGCTGGGTATTGTGGATACAGTGACAGGTAGACAAGACAATTAAGTTTCATGCCTTCTGCAGGTCAGAATAGAGGAGGCAAGCAGATAGAGTTCAAAGCACAGTGAGTGAGATGTAGGGGGAATGCTAGGCTGCTTTTGGTAGTCAGCCTCTAAAGAACAGAAGGGCCTGACTTGATCCCATTATGGAGAAAATTTCTAGAAGAGGTGGCATTTCCTGGAATAGGAAGCAGTGGAGGTGATAGAGAAGCCAGGAAGAGAGCAGTGAGGGTAAGAAGTTGGGGGACAGTGAAGCACAGTGTGTGAGAGAGGCTTCATGAGTATGTGACATGCAGAGCAGAGGGAAGCGGGGCCCAGAGAGAAACCAGGGCACTCGGAAGGGCACTCTTGCAAATACTTAATCCTGTGCTGAAAATTCAGAGGGTGGCTGCAGTGAAGGCGAAGGTCCCTGTGATTTCACCAGGACCCATAAAGGATGGAGTTGGAAGACCTTCCAGAACAAGTTCTGAGGTGTTGCCAGTAGCAGATGTGACTCCCACCAGCTAAAATGTTGTTTCCAGGGTTGCTTTAGTGAAGTGGGGAGGAGAAAGAAGGGTTCTATAGCTGCCCTCTTCACCCATTCTTGGTCAGGTGCCTGGGGAAATCTATATTGATACAAGTCTGCTCTGAGCGCCTGCATGATTCAGACCTTAATCTCACCAGCCCCATGAGGTTGCTGTCAAACCACACCTGGGTTCCATTTGTTGTGCCCAGTGTTGGAAATAATCTCTGCCACCCGATTTTGCAAAGAGCTGAGAAGCCAGGCTCTTTCCAGGAGGGGACACTCCTAAGTTCTTTACCCAGGCTTTTCAGGTCTGCTACATTTCTGGAAGTGATGAATAGTAAAAGTAGTAAAAATAGTAAAAGATGAAATTTTAAAAAAGTTTATTTGGGAAATAAGAGAAGGGGGAGAGAGAGAGAGAGAGAGAGAGAGAGAGAGAGAGAGAGAGAGAGAGAGAGAGAGAGAAATACCTGCTCAGGAAAGAGTACAGGGTTCTCCAGAGTCACGTCCCAGGCAAGGATAGGGAGCGTTTCACAGGAATGGAGAAACCCTTCCCCAAAGTAAGGAAGGGCATATCTCAGATTGCACAGGCAGGACCCCTGTCTGTGGAAACTCTGCCAATGCAGTTTATACAGTTTTCCCAATCTGCCCACCCCCCAGTCCAGTTCATTGCTAGGGTATTGCTTAGGGGGGAATCTAGGAGCTGTTAATGGTCTTCTGAAAGGAGACTTTGTTACAGAGGTTGGATGGGCGTCTCCCAGCAGGGGGTAGCAGCGCACCTGGCCTGGAATTCTGCATCTCAGTGGTTTCCTAGGTTTCTGAAATGGATCTTTTGCGTCAAATGCCTTCATGACTTTGGGCATGTTTTGGGTTTCAGACAATGTTTTTCTTAATTCACATTACCAGCACCCCCTATCTTCCTTGCTGCGGAGAGGGGTGGCACTAAGGGAGGTTGCCCTACCTGCACTCCCCCTCTCCCCACCCCCACCCCACAGGCAGCATTTGTACAAAGTGCAGGGACAGTAGCACCTGCCTTGGTACTGGGCAGGCCGTCGTCCTCCTCTTCCCTTCCTGACAAATCACTCTCTAAAAGCCCTCCACTAATTACTTATGAGTGGCAAGTGGTACTGGATGGGACAATAAAATCTGTTCATGAGACGATAAACTGGGTCATAGACCAGACGATATAGACTTTGGTTTTCCACAAGCCTCTGCCCCCTTGAAACCGTCATTCTTACTCCCCTTGGGTCATCAGCCTGGTGGAATTCTCCCCGTGTTGCTTTCCCGGGTTCATGTATAAGGCCCTGTCAACTTTTTTAGGAGAAGAGTTCTCAGTTCTGACCTCTTATACATTTCTATTTCTCCAGAGCCAAAGAACCTTGGTTCTGTACCAGTCTGAGCCTGGAGAAAGATGGTAGGTAGAAATATATCTTCCATAGACCACTTTGGGATATATATGTTGGGTAGGATCTGGGACAGAGTGGGCTGGGACCCAGAGTCAAGAAGACGAACTGGCCTATGGAGCTGAATTATGTGGAGTTGGGCAATCAGCAAAGGCATTTCCTGAGGCATCCACAATAAAGATGAAAAGAAAAATCCTCTGATACAGAGGTCAGCTCTTTCTATAAGGGGCAAGTTAGCATATAAGCCAGGCTTTGCTGGCTACGTTTTATCTGCTGCCACAATCACCCCTGTCATTGTGGCATGAAAAAAGCCCACAAATAATAGGTTAATGAGTGAGTTAATATTACTGACTGTGATTTAATAAAACTTTATTTACAAAAACAGGTGGCAGACTGAAGCTGGCCCTCGGCTTTAGTTCACCAACACCTGCTCCCCCAGAACTGGCCAATATGGTAGCCAACAGCCCCATATGGCTACTAAGCATTGGAAATGTGCTCTATGTGTTAAATACACACCAGATTTTAAAGCTTCAGTACAAGTAAAAGAATGTTAAATATCTCATTAATAATTGTATTGGTGGCATGTTGCAATAATATTTTGGGTTAAACAAAATTGATCATCAAAATGCATTTCACCTGTTTCTTTCTAATTCTTACCGTAGTCACCAAAGTTTTAAATTAAATTTTAGCTACTATTATATGCCAATGGACAGAACTGTTCAGGAATAACATTCTCTGGACTGGCAAGATAGTACAATAGGTAAAGCTCTTGCCTTACATGCAGGCAACCCGAATTTGATCCCTAGTACCACATATGGCCCCCTGAGCACCTTGAAGAATGATCCCTCAATGCAGAGCCAGGAGTAAGTCCCAAGCACCACCAGGTGTGGTCTACCTTCCACCCCCACCCCCTACCCCCAAAGAATAACATTGTCTATTTGAGAGGGTAAGTCTCTGACCCTGAAGAGGTTCAGGCAGGAGACTTATCCTTAAAGAAGAGCAACCATGAAATTCCAATCTTCACAATAAAGCAAACATCCGATTGGAATGAATAGGTTTTAATATTTAAAATGTCTTTGCCCTCCTTATATGAGAGCTGTTTTGTCTGCATACATGTTCCTTAAATTGGGAGCTATGGATCTGTTTGCTTGCTCAAGATGATAATAAGAATGTTTTTAGTTTTATTTAAGTGGGGAGAAGGATTACAGAATTAAACATGGATTAATCATTCATCCAGTTTCTTTACTGCAGTAGAATTTTTCAACCTTCTGAACTTGCTAATGTGTAGAGAAAGTCTTTGCACGAGAGAGCTAGACTAGGCAGAACCTTAGCCTTCAATGCCTTTCTTACAGAACACTTATTAGCATCCCTAGAAGACAATTAAAAAATCCTGGTCTGAGTGATGCTATATAACCCATGTGCTTGATTTTACATTGGTCCAATTCAGTGAATGGTCTTGGCATGACATAAACAGCCACCAATTATGAACATGGCCTTGTGTAAAATTTGGAGGCATAAAATTCCCAGTCAAAATCCTTTGATTGATGTTTTGGGGCCACACCTGTCAGGACTCAGTGCTTACTCCTGACTCTTCATCAGAGCTCACCTACCAGAAGGTGGGGATCAGGAGACCATATGGAATATGGGGATTGAACTAAGGTTGGCTGTATGCAAGGCAAGCATCTTACCCATGGTACGATCTCTCCAGTTCCAACTTAGCCAAAGTCTTGTTCTTCTTCCCAGTATTATTCATTCAATGTGTTAGCCCATGTTTTCAGTCTTCAGTACTAAGAATAACCAAGTCCTGAACTTTTGGGTATTTTTTGTTGGTGCAGGAGACAAATAGTCAACAAGACAAGTGGGTAACTGATGCAGTAAGTTCAGTATTATCAGGGCCATAGAGAAGACCCCAAACAGGGAAGAGGGATCTGCTAGATTGATGGGACATTGGGCGGGAGGTGACTAGTGGAGGTAATGAGGTTGAGAACCAGATTTCATTTATCTGCACAGATCAGCTTTTCTTCATGAAGGGTGTTCCTAAGATAATATTTGTGAAGAGCCAGGAGGAGGCGTCAACAGAGATTAAAGCCTTTGCATTTCATTCTGTTTGCCATTCCATTTCTTTTAACTCTCAAATAGACATCTGCCTTGTGGATTCTTAATGGAGAATAACTTAGCCAAAGTCAATTTCCAGAGTCCCTTGGGGCCAGTTCTCTCCTTGTCCATGTTCTTCATCTTAAGGAACTCTGATCTCATTTCATTTCCTGCTCAACCTAAGCCAATTAAGGGAAAACTACTTCCAAATACATAGGTAACACACTTCTTGGATCCTGTGATCATTAGATGAACTACAGGCATGGAGTTATTATCTATCCATCCGTCCATCCATTTGTCCATCTATCCATCCTTCTGTCCATCGCTCTCTCTATCTGTCTGTATAGTCATTCATCCATCTAATAAAATTTTTAGAGTACCTACTGTGCTTCTTTCAGGTACTGTGCTAGATTCCAAAATATATGCCCTTATGGTAGTGACATTCTAGTAAGAAGAATAGAAAGTATTCCAGAGACACAGTGACCAAGTAAATGAAATCATCTATCAGAATGTGATAAAGCTAATAAAAAAAGAAAAAGTGGACATGTATCAAAGAGATTAGTAGGAGGGATTCTTTGCTTCTCCTCAAGGTGGTGTTAGTGAGAGGGAAAGGGCTCTGGGCAAGGACTTTGGATGCCAACTCCTCACCATGACCTTGTGCCTGTCTTTTTCAGGCGCCGTGTCCTGAGTGACCAGACCATGGAGAGGCTGCTTGGTGGCCTGCTGGCGTTTGGCATGGCGTTTGCTGTGGTCGACGCCTGCCCCAAGTACTGTGTCTGCCAAAACCTGTCTGAGTCATTGGGGACCCTGTGCCCCTCCAAGGGGCTGCTGTTCGTGCCCCCCGACATTGACCGGCGGACAGTAGAGCTGCGCCTGGGTGGCAACTTCATCATCCATATTGGCCGTCAGGACTTTGCCAACATGACGGGGCTGGTGGACCTGACCCTGTCCAGGAACACCATCAGCCACATCCAGCCCTTCTCCTTCCTGGACCTCGAGAGTCTGCGCTCCCTGCACCTCGACAGCAACCGGCTGCCCAGCCTGGGCGAGGACACGCTCCGGGGCCTGGTCAACCTGCAGCACCTCATCGTGAACAACAACCAGCTGGGGGGCATCGCTGACGAAGCCTTTGAGGACTTTCTGCTGACTCTGGAGGACCTGGACCTCTCCTACAACAACCTCCATGGGCTGCCCTGGGATTCGGTGCGGCGCATGGTCAACCTTCACCAGCTCAGTCTGGACCACAACCTGCTGGACCACATTGCCGAGGGCACCTTTGCTGACCTGCAGAAACTGGCCCGCCTCGACCTCACTTCCAACCGGCTGCAGAAACTGCCCCCCGACCCCATCTTTGCCCGTTCCCAGGCCTCCTCGGCTCTGACCGCCACACCCTTTGCCCCTCCCCTATCTTTCAGTTTTGGGGGGAACCCGCTGCACTGCAACTGTGAACTCCTCTGGCTGCGGAGGCTGGAGCGGGAGGACGACCTGGAGACCTGCGGCTCCCCCGGGGGGCTCAAGGGTCGTTACTTCTGGCACGTGCGCGAGGAGGAGTTTGTGTGTGAGCCTCCGCTCATCACGCAGCACACACACAAGCTGCTGGTGCTTGAGGGCCAGGCGGCCACCCTCAAGTGCAAGGCTATCGGGGACCCCAGCCCCCTCATCCACTGGGTGGCCCCTGATGACCGCCTGGTGGGGAACTCCTCCAGGACTGCCGTGTATGACAACGGCACACTGGATATTCTCATCACCACATCTCAGGACAGCGGGGCCTTCACCTGCATCGCTGCCAACGCCGCAGGGGAGGCCACGGCCACAGTGGAGGTCTCCATTGTGCAGCTGCCACACCTCAGTAACAGCACCAGCAGAACCGCACCCCCCAAGTCCCGCCTCTCGGACATCACTGGGTCCAGTAAGACCAGTCGGGGAGGTGGAGGCAGTGGGGGTGGGGAGACTCCCAAGAGCACCCCAGAACGGGCTGTGCTTGTGTCAGATGTGACGACCACCTCGGCCCTGGTCAAGTGGTCGGTCAGCAAGTCAGCGCCCCGAGTGAAGATGTACCAGCTGCAGTACAACTGCTCTGATGATGAGGTACTGGTTTACAGGTGAGCTGGGACCTGTCTGCTTAGGGGAGGGGGAGGTCATGGGGAGAGGACTGAGCTGGCCCCACCTAGGAAACTCCTCTCCAAAGGTGCTGGTGGAGTTCTTGGTCACACTCTGCCTTTCACTCAGGAGAGAAGAGAGAGAAAGGACAGTAACTGCTAATTGTCAAGAGAGGAGCCCATCCACACAGCATCCTGAAAAGATGTGTTCCCAGGGAGCTTGCTTCTTGAAGCTGGGGTTATGTGAGGTGGTCCTGTGGCTATGAGTGTGCAAATGCCCCAGGACAACAGGCGAGACCCAGGAGCAGATCTAGTTAAAGTTTTGGGGTCAGGAGTAGTGGAATTCGGTTATAGGTCTGCAACTTGCTCGTCGGTTCATGTTCCTTAGTATGTTTTTCTCCTTTGTCAAATAGGGATTAACTCACAGTTCACTTAGTCTGGACTCTTGGATGCAGGGAGCTGTACTCAACTCAAACTAACTTTAAAAATGAAAGAAAAGAGGAGAGGATGTATTGGCTTATATGATTGAAAAATCAGGCTCAGCTTGATTCCTCGGCCCCCATTACACTGTAATCTCACTTCTTCAATTTCTCAATTCCCATTTCCTTCTGGGTTGTCCTCAGGTAGCCTCTTTCCTCTGAGAACACCTAGAGAGGGAGAGTGCAACCTTCTCCAAGTTGGAGTGCAGAAGACTGTCCCACAGAAGTCCGGAGTTTTGACCAGCCAGATAAGGCCCTTCACTTGAACCCCCAATATGAAAGGCGACGAGTCCCCCTGCCATTTCTACTCACTGCTCTAGGTTCAGTCTTCTTGTGAAGCAAATGTAGACAATGTCATTTGTAGACCTGGTATTCTGAAGATCAAAGGATCAATTCCTTGGCCTGGTTGAGAGGGAAGGAAAAGCTTCCTCAGACTTTCAGCTGTTGATCAGAGGAAAGGGGCACTCATGGAGGGATACATAGAGGCCAAACTGGCCTCAAACCTGACCTTTCTTAATGAGCTCTAATTTCTTTAAATATGAGGAATATGGCCTAGAACCTTACCAGATAAAGAGCATATGGTTTCTTCTAAAACCTTGTGTTTTATTTTATGCATTTAAAGCCATTATTTTGAGAAGGGATCTCATAGGCTTCATCAACAACTGAAGAGTTCCAGATGCAAGAGAGGTTAAGGCCCCAACACATCCCTGAGGTTCCTTCCACTCTCACCTGAGTTGATGAGTCTCTGGAGAGAGCAGTGGGGAGAAGGCACAGAAGTATCCACTCAATTGAGGGGCAACCATGTGGGTGGGCTACCTCAGAGATCCATGGAGCCAGGGCATGCCCTGCCCTTGGCCTATCTGGAGAGCAGATTCCTTTCTCCAAATGCAAAGGAAGCAGAATTAAAATTTAGCATGGACACAGGCATATATTCACACAGAGATGGAGTTGTAGATATAAAGCTATTGATATAAAGTCAACCTATATATACACAATTGCATTTTCATTATAAAACTAACATTCTGTGAAATATTTAAAAATAGAGATCATGATAAAGAAGATAAAAGGTTCCTGTCACCTCATCACCTAAAGTCAATCAGAGGCTTTTAGTCTTTCTCTTTTCTTCCCATTCAAAAGAATCCTTAGGATCAATATAGTATATGCTTTTGTGTCTCAAGTTCTTCTAGTCAACATTTAGGAGGGTAAGTTCCTATGCTATTAAATTTTCCCCCACTTGTTTACACCATAAATATCTAACCAGACTTCTTTTGTTAGATATTTTAATTGTTTTCCATTTCTCTGTATTGAAGTACACAAACACTCAACTCAGGGGTAGCACATACCCCCAGGCTGTGCAAGGCTCTGAGTTCAATTCCAGCCACTGCATGTCCTCCAGCACCACAGGATGTAGCCTGGCCTGGTGACTCTCAAGAACCTCCAAACCCTAGATCCAAGTCTTCAGGTTCACATTCACAGGAATAGCCTCAGCTATCCCCAACACCCCCCACCCCATACCACTAACTGTGGCCTTTATAAACATTAAAAATAATTAACGGAGAAAAAATAAGTATTGCAACAATGGAACTCTGTACATAAATATATCGGCGCAACTTCAATGATTTTTCATAGCATATTTCCTAAGAGCTGAATTTCTTGTCTAGTGAGTAGAATAAAACCTTTATACTGTGCATAATACTTATTTATCCATGGGCCAGTGGTAAGAAACAGTACCCATTTGGCCACGCCTTATCCCATTACTGAATATAGCCTGGATTTTATCTTTTACAATTTCACAGGTGAAAATAGAACTTGTTATCATTTGCATTTTTTGATAACTTGTGAGGTTGACCTTTTGAAGAAAGTATATTTCATTTTTCGAATTTATTATGTCATTTGGACTTTGATAAAAAGTGGAGGGTGAAATGCTTCAGTTTGTGAGAGGGGAAAACGTGGAAACTGAGGAAAGGGGGTCAAATGTGACTCTCCCCGGGGCTCACAAAAACCCTGGACAGAATAGAATGTGGACTCAGCACCTAAGTCCCTCAGGGTGAGAATTCACATTGCTTGTATTTGAGACTGGGAAGCTGGACACTCTAGGTTTCTGAATAGAAGTAAAATGGAAACATCTTTGATGGATGGACATCGAGAGTATCATGTTGAGTGAAATGAGTTAGAGGAAGAGAGACAGATAAGATGTTTGTACTCATTTGTGGGATATTCAAAAAACAAGCAAACATAGTATGAGAATAATACCAAAAGACAGTAAAAACAAGACCCAGGAAGACTGGTCCATACAAGGAAGCTTGCTACAAGTTGTGGGGAAGTGCAGTTAGGGAAAAGAAGGGACCACCATGACAGTGATAATTGGAAATGATCACTTCTGACAAGAACTGAGTGCTGAAAGGAGGTAAAGTGATATACATAATAACCTTTCAGTAATAGTATTGAAACCACAGTGTCTAAAATGAAAGAGAGGGAGGGAAAGAGTGAGAGGGAGAGAGAGAAGGAAAGAGAGAGAGAGGGAAGAGAGAAGGAAAGAGAGAGAGAGAGGGAAGAGAGAGAGAAATACAGAAAGAAATACAGAGAGAGAAGTGTCTGCCATTGAGGTAGGCTTGAGGTGGGAGTGGGAAACTGGGACATTGGTGGCAGGAAACGTACACTGGTGAAAGGATAGATATTGTACCATTGTATGACTGAAACCCAATCATGAACAAACTTTGTAACTGTGTATGTCCCGGTGATTTAATTAAAAATAATATATATTAAAATAATATAATATATATTATACTGGTCAAGGAGAAAGTTCAAGGAACTGAGCACATGCTTTGCTTGTGGGAAGCCTTGAGTTTGATCCCTGGCAATGCATGGTCTCTTGAGCTAAGTGACCTCTAAGTGACCTCTGAGCACTGAGCCAGGAGTAGCCTCTGAGTACTACTGGGTGTGGCCATCAGACAAAGCAAAACTAAACAAATAAAAATAAAATGCAGATGATAATGCCGGTTTTCTCTTAGGCTGACCATGAGAGCTAGAGGAGACAGAAAGTTTTGCAAATAGTGCAACACAGAGCAAATGTTCAAGGACTCTGCTTTATTTTTAGTTTGGGGGCCATATCTTTCTGTGCTTAGGGCTTACTCCTGGATCTGTCCTCAGGGATCACTCCTGGCAGACTCAGGGTACCCTATGGGATGCTGTAATTCAAACCCAGGTCAGCTGCATGCAAGGCAAGTGCTCTCTCCACTGAACCATCACTCTGGTCCCCACAATTTATTTTTATATCTTGTGAAATGAGTAATTGTAGCTGCAACATAGAGAGTCAGAGTCTTTGCTTTTTTGCTGTCCTGGGAAAGGAGAGGAAGGTTAGACACAGGTTCAAACTTTCAGAAGATACATTTTCAAAACTTTAAAGAAAAAATGTTAGTGTGAATCTTAGCTAGAAAATGATAACTGCCATGGCTGGCTGACACTGTAGCTTCCTGTTTGCCTGACACTAAGCTTAACAGACAGCATCTCATTTCATTCTTCCAGACATACCAACAGGTACAAACAGGTGAGAGAATTCATCAACTCTATCCAGGTTAGATAGTCAGAATCAGGCTGGACTGATTTTACCTCTGAACTCTAGGGTCAGTGCCAAGATGCTCACTCCATAGTCCTACTTCCCTGGGCCTAATATCAAATCTAGCTGGAGAGAAGTTAGAAAAAAAAAGAAAGCAACTGGGAAGTTTTAGAAAATGAATAAGAGAGAAAGGACAGCAGCTCTCTGACATGCTTTGACTTCACAGGAAGGGGCTGCAGAAGAAGGGAAGAAAGGTCTGTCCACAGATGAATATTTAAAAAGAGTGCATATCATACTTGGAGAGAGGGAAGCAGAGAGAGGGAGAGAGAGAGGAAGGAAGAAGAGAAGGAGGGAGGAATAACACCAGGAGCAGCCAAGGGGCTTCTGTAATTCATGGTCAGAACAAGGAGGAAAAATGACAAAGATCTGCTGGTGAGGACCAACGTTGCAATGGGCATTGATGGGTGACACCAGGTAAAGCCAAATCACTGCCATTTTGCCTTCCTTCTCCTGCAAGAGGAAGAAGAGGAGTGAAGGCTTGCTTTGTCTTCAAGGCTCACATGCCTGTTATGCATTCATGTACCTTCAATGCATAGCACTCAAGTCACTTTTGAAAACCCTGAGAAGTAAGCTTTCCAAACATCCCTCTTTCTATTTAGAATCTTGCCCATGATTTGAATCCAGCATTTGAATCCATCAAAGAAGGTCCACATCCATGTTGCCAAGAGAGAAACAATAAACTCCAATGGAGACACTTCCCATCACCACTGTCCTCAATGATTCCTAGTGCCCACTGCCAATGCCATGTCTTGGGTCTGGAGTAGCACATATAAGACCTTCCCAGATGGAGTTAGTGATTCTGAGCATCATGACTAGGAGATGGTGCCTAAGAGAGCAGAAGAGTGGATATTCTGCTTTGTGAAAACTAGGATCCGGAAAGCATGGTGTACTAGCACAGGTTTTCTAGA